TATCAAACCTTTTGGGACACGGCAAAATATTTAATAAGAGGAAAAGTCATATCATTACAGACCTATCTTCATAAACGAGAACGAGCCCAAATAAACAACCTAACACTTCATCTTTAAAAACTAGAAAATGAAGAACAAATGAAGCCTAAAGTCAGCAGAAGGAAAGAAATAATCAAAATTAGAGCAGAATTAAATGAAATTGAAAACAAAAACAAAAAATGATAGAAAAAACAAATGCAACAAAGAGCTGGTTCTTTGAGAAGGTTAATAAAATGGACAAACCCCTGGCTAGACTCACTAAAGAAAAAAGAGAAAGGACACAAATAAACAAAATCAGGGATGAAAGAGGGGAAATTACGACTGACACTGCAGAAATACAGAGGATCATACAAGAATACTATGAAAATGTATATAACACCAAATTTAATAACCTAGAAGAAATGGACCAGTACTTAGAAAGATATAACTTTCCTAGACTGAATCAAGAACTGGAAAATCTAAATAGACCGATCAGCAGTATGGAAATTGAAACAATCATCAAAAACCTATCATAAAATAAAAGTCCAGGACCAGATGGCTTCACCAGTGAATTCTACTAAACATTCAAAGTAGATTTAGTACCTATTCTCCTCAAACTCTTCCAAAAAATCGAAGAGGAAGCAATACTTCCCAACTCATTTAATGAGGCCAATATTATCCTGATACCCAACACCAAAAAAGAACACTACAGACCAATATCTCTCATGAATACAGGTGCAAAAATCTTAAATAAGATTCTAGCAAACCAAATATAGCAACATATTAAAAAGATTATACACCACGATCAAGTGGGCTTCATCCCATGGGCACAGGGATGTTTCAACATATGCAAATCAATTAATGTGAGACACTAAATAAACATTTAAAAGTAATCATATGATCATATCAATAGATGCAGGAAAATCTTTTGACAAGATACAGCATCCATTTATGATCAAAACACTTAACAAAATTGGTATAGAAGGAAAGTACCTTAACATAATAAAGGCCATATACAACAAACCCTCAGCCAACGTTAGACTTAATGGTGAGAAACTAAAAACCTTTCAGCCAAAATCAGGAACAATACAAGGCTGTCCACTATCGCCACTGTTATTCAGTATAACATTAGAGGTCCTAGTGAGTGCTCTCAGGCAAAAGAAAAATATAAAAGGCATCCGAAAAGGAAATGAAGAAGTCAAACTGTCACTATTTGTGGATGACATGATTCTCTGTATAGAAAACCCTAAAGACGCCACAAGAATACTACTGGAAACAATAAGCAAATACAGTAAAGTTTCTGGATACAAAATCAATGTTAAAAAATCCATAGCATTCCTATACTCTAATAATGAAGTGTTAGAAAAAGAAATGGAAAAAATAATTCCTTTTACAATTGCAACAAAAGAACAAGATACCTAGGAATAAATCTAACGAAACATGTGAAGGACTATATGATAAAAACTATAAGACCCTATTAAAAGAAATAGAAAATACAAACTATGCTGTGTGATAGGTTTTGAGAATATGGCAATAAACAAGACAGACAAGGAACTTCAGTTTGAAGCAGTTTGAAAATCATGAATTAGATTATTTATCAGGCCTCTTTTTTATTCTGTAGCTTTCTCTTTAAAAATGCAGTTATGGACAGTTAAGAAGTATATTTAAAGACACAGAGGTGCATTAAATCTTTGCCTATATTTAAAGCCCCTGTTTAAGCTTAGAGTAATGAATAATTGTGAAATTTACCTTTACTAAGTAATTTCTGAGTGATATTAACTACTGTAGACTTTTACCTTCTTGCCTATGATTTTTGTCTATGGTAGGAGGGTTTCTTTCTTCTTCCCTCCCTCCCTTCCTGTCTTCTTTCCTTCCTTAGTATTCTAGTGATGGGTTCTATATAGATATATTTAGAAAAAAAATTTAGACACAGTGCTAGTAGTAATGTGGCTTATATGATCTGAATGAGTGTAGTAAATGAATGTTTAATATAAGACTATATTAATATAAGACTTGAATATAAGACTAACTTATTAAAGGCTAATTAAATCACATATTTAAAAGATTGAAATCTTTATCTTTCTGTTTTTAGAATCCATTAAGAAGAAGTAAAATATACTCAGATCCAATATACTTGATTTTTCTGGTAGTGATACCTAAATAAGATGATAATTTTTATATCTTGTCATTTCCTTTTGTATTATTCTTGAGAACAATTAAATGGCTTTGACTTTGCACTGTAGATAGTCATGGCTGCACAAAAAAATTTAGATGGAGTTATTTGTTGTTACTCATTAATTTAAACATCATTTTCTAGGTCATTAATGATCCTATTCATGGCCACATTGAATTCCACCCTCTCCTCATCCGAATCATCGACACACCTCAATTTCAGAGGCTTCGCTATATTAAACAGTTGGGAAGTGCTTACTATGTTTTTCCGGGAGCTTCACACAATCGATTTGAGCATAGTCTAGGGTAAGAGGGGAACTGGGGAGGGAAATTGGGATGGGAAATGATTGTCTCATCTTTTAGAGAATAGTTTTATAATATGGTAATAAATATCCTTGTTTTGTTGATGAAAATATCGAGGCTTTAATTTATCTTGCTATATTTTATTTTTTATATATTGTTACAAACCACTGCAGATCTTTCCTAGAAAGATAGTGAACATGTCTATTGGCAGGTCAGTAGGATGAAATATTTGTGTTTACATATTACTTAAAAGCTAATAATGTTGTTTACTGTTATAATTAACCCTGTAAGTTTGATTATTTAATTTCCTGTAGTCTTAATTTAGTCATGTTGCCCTTTGAAACCAGGAAATGTGTAAATCAGAAAAGCACAAGCTTAGAGAAGCTGGCTCTTCCGTTATGTATAACTAAGTTGAGACTTCGGTCTGCTTTTCTGTTATAAAATGTAGAGCCAGGAGGACATGGGCAGGGAACTGTATAGTTTTCTAGATTCTCATGAAGTACTCACAGTATATTACTTTGTTTTTTTGTTTGTTTGTTTATTTTGAAGCATTTTTAGTTATCCAGAACACATGTATCAACTCAAATGTTCCTTCATTCATCAACAAATGTTTACTGAAAACTTACTTGGCCCTACCAAACTAACAAGGTAGCAATTGTCTCTATCCTCATGGAGCTTATTGTTTAGAGAAGAAAGATACTGTATTCATTCAGAAATAACTTTCAGGAGGAAATGCTAAAAGCACATTTAACATTTGTTAGGCATTTTATCTTCAATCTATGTTGTGAACATTACAAAGCCAGAAGTCCTGCTTATTCTTTTAAAAATTGTGGTAAAATGCACAGAATATAAAATTTACCATCTTAACTATTTTTAAGTACAAGTTAAATAGTGTTAAATATAGCCATATTATTGTGCAGCCAAGCTCCAGAACTTTTCATCTTGCAAAACTGAAATTCTTTATCCATCAAATAACAATTTTTCATCCTTCCCTGCCTTCCCAGCCCCTGGTAACTTTCTCTTTCTATGAACTGGATTATTCTGGATAACTCACATAAATGATACCATACAGTATTTGTCTTTTTGTGACTGGCTTATTTCATGTCACATAATTTTCTGAAGGTTCATCCATGTTGGAACATGTATCAGAATTTCCTTTTTAAGGCTGAATAACATTCCATTAAATGTATCTACCACATTTTTTTAATTCCTTCATTTATCGGTACACACTGGGTTATTTCTACCTTTTTGGCTATTGTAAATAGTGCTGCTATGAACATGAGTGTGCAAATACCTCTTCAAAACCCTGCTTTAAATTGTTTTGGATCTACACTCAGAATTGGAATTGCTGGATCATGTGGTAATTCAATTTTTAATACTGTTTTCCACAGCGACTGTTTCATTATACATTCCCATTAACAGTGTACAAGGGTTCTAATTTCTCCACATCCTGGCCAACATTTGTTATTTATTATTTTGAGGGTTCGTTTTGTTTTGTTTTGTTTTTTGGTAATAGCCATCTTAATAGGTGTGAAGTGGTATCGTTGTTGTTTTGATTTTGCATTTCCCTAATGATTAACGATGCTGAGCCAAGAGGTCCTGCTTTTGGGATTCTGTTTGTATTGTCCTGCCTAGTTTCGAAAAAGACTATTCTGTTAAATTTCCCCTGAGATGTAGTATGATATTTGAGAAACATATTAAAGGCCTTAAGGGCCAGAAGTATTACTCGTCTTTCAAACAAGAGTGACTTTTTAAGTTTTTTTGCTCTGCAGCGTAGCATATCTAGCAGGATGTCTGGTTCGTGCACTGAGTGAGAGACAACCAGAGCTGGAGTTGAGTGAACGAGATATACTCTGTGTTCAGATTGCTGGGCTTTGTCATGATCTCGGTAAGCTGTACGAAGAGCCAAAGCAGTTATGAAAAACCATAACCTGCTACCTCCATTTGAAATTAAAAAATCCAACTAACCAAGAGAAATATGAAAGTTGTATTTTAATTCTTCAGTTAATATTAAAATAAATGTGTCATTGCGTCTTCCTAGAATGATTTGTAAGATCAAGGCATTGCTATTTTATTTTCTTTGCAGCCTTTCATGAATAACATGGGAAATTCCCATGAATTCCCCATCATTGCTACAAGTTATATGAAAGGACTTCCTGATAGTGAGGTTTTTCTAACTACTGTGTTTAGGATGATGTGAATTTGATTTTTCTTTTATCCTTTAGTCTTTTATCTTTTATCTTTTTTCTTTTTTTATTTTTTATTGAATAAAATTGCCATTTTTCCTTCAGTTACTGTGTCAGGTCCATTTTTATACATAGACTACATAATCTACCCTAGCAGATTAACAACAGATTTAGAGAACTTCTTTTCTTCCCTGATCCATGTGAGGTCTTGGGCCACTGAACTGCGAGTAAAAGAATATCATCCTTTTCCTTTGACAAAGAGACAAGAGACTGGACTCTTCTATCGCAGGAGTTTTCCCATATCCCTATAGTTCAGTCCTGCCTATTAGAGGCCCCCGAGAGTTTGTGTGTGCCCTCCAGGCAGGGAAGGGGAAGCACCTGTGTTTCAATAGTCAGATACTTCAAGGGGTAGGGCATTCTCTTCAGCATGTCGTATTGCAGATTTCAAGAGAATTAATACTACCCCCAGATGATAAATGCAACAGATTCCTGGTCTTTTGAGAGGGAATCATTGAGAAAGCTTTGCCAGTCTCCAGGAGTCTGAGCACTACAGTAATGAGCCTTTCTGTACAGATTGTGACATGCTGAAAGACCCAGGACTGGTCCAGGTGGGCTCCCTCTTCGGCCAAGTAATTCACTTCTACAAAAATTCTGATAATTCCAGAGTTGTATTTCAATAAAATTTTATATTACTAAGTGTTGTGGAATGTTAAAATCACTTATGACTAAAGTAAACATGTGATTTCCACTTTTGATTGCTCATTTGATCAGTAAAAACCCAAGAAACAGCCCCAATATGTGTAATTTATTATAAATATGTTATATACATTATAAAATTTACATTAAAATAGATATTTTTAGAAGAGAATAATAAAGTTCTAATATTATTCCTACATTCCAGTGGATTGTCTTCAAACTGCTGTTTTAATATAAATACTCCACCTGAAGATACCAAAGTTTTTGTTATTAACATTCCTTTAAGTTACACAAAACTGTCCTTTCATCAGATTTATGTAAGCTCTTGTGACTTAGAGACTCCTCTCTGGAGAGTTTACTTTCCTATATAATTCTACTTCCTGTTCTCTTGTTTTACAAAGTAGGAAGGAAAGATTTGTCTTCTTTGTATTATTGATAGATTATTGAATTATTATTAGATTTTTATTGATAGATTATTCATTTCTGTTGACATTCAAGTTAGAACTAAAAAGATAAAAAAGTCAACTCACTTTCTATCATTTTACAAACATTTTGCTTGTTCTAAGGCTGCTTTTGTTTTTAAGGTCATGGGCCATTTTCCCATATGTTTGATGGAAGATTTATTCCACTTGCTCGCCAAGATGTGCAATGGACGGTATGTATTCATATATTCAATAGTCAATATATTAAAGACTATTTGAGCTATCACTGATGTGTTATAGTATATTTCCCCATTACAGTTTTTGTATATATATGAAATTCAAATTGCTATATATGTTTTCCTTTGATTCTCACAGTCTGTAAGGAAGGAATCATTATTGCTATTTTTACAAATGTAAATGAAGTTGAAACTCAGAGTGTATCGATGCACCAAGAATCACAAAGCTGTTAAATGATAGAGCCAGCACTAGAAAACCAGTTTTTCTAGGTGCTAATTTAATGGTCTTTCTACCCTATCATACTATTATATAATAAAATAAATAAGAGGCCAACTCCAGTTTGGACTCATTTTGTATGACCATGAAGTAACTGATTGCTGCCAAGTTTCATCATATATATTAACTGAACCATTTTATAATTAGGGATTCGCAGGTGGCTGACCCATAGTTTTGGAATTAGTTTTTGAGAAGAAAAGTTAGTTTTGAGAAATAAAATAGATGGACTCCCATTTTTGGTCACATTATATTTCTGGATCCTGGAGTAGAAAAGGATATTAATATGTACTGAATGCTTCCTACATGTCGACCACTATTTTCTCTTTTTTTAAAGGTATAATTCACATATAATAAGTTGTACAGATCTTAAGTGTATATAGTTCAGTGAATTTTGAAAAATGTATGCATCCATGTAACCACTACCCAAGTCAGGATAAGAATGTTTCCAAATCTTTTGGAAAATTCCCTTGTGAACCTTTTCAGTCAATTTCTACTCCTCCCCCACCATCACTTTCTGCTTTTTATAAACACGGATTCATTTCGCCTGTTTTTAGAATTGATGTAAGTAGAATTGAAATCGGAGGGAAACTTAGTACGAAGCTTGTGCTGCCAGCGCCACTCACAGTCAAAAGACCCACACAGGAGTTGTGCTAAATAGAATAAGCATTTATTAGAGAGTTGCTTCAAAAGCTGGCTCCCCAAATGTCTTGGAAGCACTGATTACCTAGGGAAATCAGTAGTCACTGAAACCAAGGCAGTGGAGATGGCCAAGGCCATCAATCTTGTCTTTTCAGCCAGGGCCTGTTTCCCAGGCCTCTTGGAGGGATGGCAAGAGGTACTGGGTGTCCTGGAATCAGCCGCTGCTTCATCCCGTGACCTTGCTCCTTGGCAAAACTAGCTCATCATGGGAGTAACTGCCTTCCCAAGGGAGCGAGAGCAAAACGTGCACTTTGTTACAGGAGCAGATAGCATTTTTGAGAATGGTATCCATTGGAACAGCAGAAAATGTCCTTGGGAGCAGATATTGCCCAGAGAGTCCTTTGTTCATTATCTTTCCTTGGGGCTGCTAAGCAAGCAGCCCTTTTTGTCTTCTGAGTGCGCAGAGGGGCTATGCTTGAATTAACTCTGTGTTCTATCCTGACATAGCTCCTTTATGTCACATTCTTTGGGTCCTTGTATCAGATCCTTCTTCAATTCCCTGCAGTCAAATAGATAGAGTTCATATCTATGAAATAAGTTTAAGATGGAATTGATGGCTGTGATGTGGGAGGAGGGCTTGGGCCTCAGGTGACTGCTGGGTCCTTGGTACTCAGTGGTGATGGATGTGCAAGCGGGAGCCCACAAAATGCAATAGCAAGACACATTCCTATAATAATAAAACAAGAGAAAAATAAGAAATGTTTCTCTCAGACCAGCAATGCTGGGGAGTTAGGAGGTGAGTCGGGATAGATCAAAGCTGAAAAATCGTTTTCTTTGATTATTCTTCATTCGTGAGAGAATAGGGGCGATAAACGCTCTG